TGCCAGCCCTGGAGGCAGCTGAGCCGTGGACTCTCTGCATTTCTTTGCTGGGAAGTTGTGTGAAGGTCAGAGCCCCACCACCCACAGGCTGCAATTTGCTCGGGCTGTCCCTGGGCCCAGCCCTTGACCTGTCTGAGCCTCAGCTGCCCTGAGGGACGCACACTCGCCATAACCCCAGCCAGTGATGGGATGGGGATCGCTGGCAGATCTGGCGGAAGAGCTGGGGAATGGGCGGCCTGACAGCCCGTGGGAGACCCAGCCAGCCCAGCAGGGTGGTGGGAGGAAAGTAGAGCCTCAGAGAGCCCTGGCTGACTTGGGGCCACTAGCTTTCCTTCCTTCCCTGTCCCCTTGAAAATAGCAGCTGGAGCCTCCCTCCTCACCCTCATCCCTGCAGCCCTCAGGCAGGGCTCCAGTTCACATTTTTGGAATAACCAGGGCTTTGACAGGGTTATTTGAAAGGAAAAATTCCTTGAATGTCGACCAAGGGAGAGGGCCAAGGGGGCTCTGCGTGTCGATGTCTGTCGATGTCTGTCTAGAGTGGGGAGCGGCTCTGTACTGCAAAGGGGCTTCTATCTGGAGTTTCAGCGGCCCGGCAGACGGTGGGGTGGCGATTTGGGATGCCACAGTCCTGGGCTACCTGAGTGACAGCATGCAGTTCTGGCTGCCTCTCTTGCAGAGAAGCCTGAACTGAGTGGGCGTGGGGTATTGAGGCCTTGGGTTCAGACTCCCGAGGCTCTGTGTTGGGGGCAGAATCCCCAGGCCATTCTCGAAGGGTTGGGCTCGTCTCCATTTCAGACTTTGGACTTCTCTGAGACGAGTGTGCCCGGAGGAACCGAGGAATGAGAATCAGGGGCCTGGATTACTGGGGTCCCAGGGATGGGTGTTGGGGGTCTTGAGGGCTCAGGTTTCCTGGTCTCTGGCCTCTCCTTAGTCCTGATGAGGACCAGTCCCTGTTCAGGCCGCCGGCCATCACCATATTAGGGCATAAACTCTAGCCGGGCTGCCTGGGTGCCAAACGGTCTCCAGCTGGGCCCGGCCCCCTGCGGCTCGTGACACCGCAGTGGGGCTTCAGCCAGGCCATGTCAGAGGCCAGGGGTCAGGGGACAGCTGCTGGAGGGAGACCCAGACAGAGCCCTCAGCTCAGGTCTCCCAGGCTGAGCCGTGAGGGCAAGGATGCGGTGAGTGGAAGGACTTCGGGGTGGGGTGCGGAGAATTCCTGGCCAGCACTTCCCCTGGCCCAGCTCTCCCCGCCCCCCCCCCCCCCCCCCCCCCCCCCCCCCCCCCCATCCCAGTGCTGTCCTGTTCCGGTTGGTTTCAGAGCACGGTGTCAGGAGTGCTGATCTGCCTCCCTCTCCCGGCCTTGTCCCCAACAAGTCCTCTCCACACAGGGAGCATCTCCCAGGACTTAGGCCCTTTGTACCTGGCCTGCTGGAGGCTCAGCCCTCAGGGCCTTGTTGGCAGGCATCTAGCACTAGCCCAAGTCCAAGTCTGGAGGCTGCGGGGGTGGGGGTGGGGTGGGGGGGCAAGTTTGTTGGCTTCTTCCTCGACTCAGTTCACCACCCACACTTCCTCTCCACCCTCCTCCTTCCTGACCTCACCCTCACCATCAGCACTCCCCCATCCCTCACACCTGCTGCGGGCCTGGGGCCTGCTCTCTGGTGCATTGTTTTAGGTGCTAGGCCCTTCAGAGGGGACAACCTACCGTGGGGAGTTAGGTAGGCCCCTGCAGTTCAGAGAAGACAGATGATCACGGGGGAGCCAAGGCAAGGAAAGAAGTTTGACTCAGAACGAGAGGAAGATGAGGAACGCGTCTGGTCCCTGTTGGGTCCATAAAGAAGGAGGAACAGAGTGTTTACGCGCCTTCCTGTTTCATCCAGGATCGCTTCCTGTGGGTGGGAGTTCTGAGCTGGGCCTCAGAGGCTGAGAGTGGTCACTCTCAGAAATGAAGAGAGAGAAGGGTGAGGGGTGGTGCCCTGGACAAGGAGCAGAGGAGGACTGGGTACACTGGGCCTGGTGCACTGACCTCACCTGGTGTAGGGGCTCTGGTGGGCAGAGAGACAGAGATTGGGAGGGGAAAACAAAAGTCAAGGGACAGAGAGAACAATGAGAGACAGAGAGGAAAGGTCTGGAGGCCACGCTTCTCAACTCTCTGCCAAAGGGTTACTTTCCTTTATGTCTACATGTCATAGACCAGCCCCTTTGTGAAATACAAAATCACACGTGTGGATGTTGTGGGAACCCCACATTGCTGTAATGGTTTTGAAACTCTTGCCCTCGACTGGTGAACGCAGCTTGTGGGTCGGCATAGCACTTGGGGACTCATGTAGGGAGAGCAGAGTCAGAGTACCTGTTAGTCCCTCAGCGTGTTCGGCACGTGTTGACTTACTTCCTCTTTACAACTCATGAGAAAGGAATTACTATCATTCCCATTTCATAGGTGAGGAAAATGAGGCACAAGGAGGCTACATAATTAAAGATAAAACAAAACAAAACAACTGGAAGCTGGATGCAGAGATCCTGGGCCTGAAGTCTGCGGGCTCACCTGCTGTGCCGGGCTGCCTTGGGCGAGGGAAGGCAAGGATACATCTAGAGGATAGGGAGGGAGACAGAGAGAGGGCTCCACAAGAAGCGGCGAGCACGGGGCGCCTGGGTGGCTCAGTCAGTTAAGCGTCCGATTTCGGCTCGAGTCGTAATCTCATGGTTCATGGGTTCGAGCCCCGCGTGGGGCTCTGTGCTGACAGCTCAGAGCCTGGAGCCTGCTTCGGCTTCTGTGTCCCCCTCTCTCACTCTGCCTCCCCCACTCATGCTCTGTCTCTCTCTGTCTCTCAAAAATAAATAAATGTTAAAAAAAAATGTTTAAAGCCGCAGTGAGCTGGAGTGGACAGATCGAGGGAGGGAGCTCAGGATGGCAGGCCCAGGGCAGAAGGAGGGGTCGGTGCAGGAGACACTGGAGAGGATGGGCCGGGAAATGTGGCTGAGGGCCGTGGGGGAGGCATGGACTGGCCCCTGTGGGTCCAGCTCTGCTGTGCCCACCTGAGGGGCCCTGGGGTCACAGTGGCCACGTCCTCCACTCTGCAGGGAGCTGCTTCCTGTGCCTGGTGGACGTGGTGCCCGTAAAGAATGAAGATGGAACTGTCATCATGTTTATCCTCAACTTCGAGGTGGTGATGGAAAAGGACGTGGTGGGGTCCCCGGCCCATGACACCAATCACCGTGGACCCCCCACCAGCTGGTTGGCCCCGGGTAAGTGTAACCATACTCTCAGGTCCCTTTCCTGAGGCCTTGAGGTTACCCAAGGTCAGTGCTCTGCAGGAAGTGGTGTTGGGGTATCCCTTTCAGAGGTTGGGGAAAGAACACCAAGGATCTGGCCTAGGCCCATCTGGCTCAGGATGGACAGACAGGGCTGGGGTGACAGACTGAGCCCAGATTCACAGGTCTTTGGGACAGGACGTACCTGGTTTCCTAGCCTTACCTGCTTGGGTTCCTACCACAGTGTCTCCTGGGAGTGGTCCTCTCTTCAGCCCCAGGAATGAGGGATTCACCCTTCCCACATGGCCTTGACCATCTTGGAGCAGCTCTCCTGCTCATCAGAAGGGCCCTGTCTCTCAGGGATTCAACTCCCTCTCTGTGTCGCTTCTGCCCCCTGGGCCTTGATCCTGGACTGGCCAGCTCCCTGCCCTGGCCTTGGCTGACTGAGGATTTGAAGGGAATGCTCACCATGGCTGGAGACACAGAGGCCTCACCTCGTGCTCCCGTAACACAAAGGCTCCCCCCCCTTCTCCATGATGTCCTTTTTGGGTTTCATTTTAATTTTTCCCCCTGGCAAAAGATTCCACCTCTTGGCTTCTCAAGCGCTGGGAAGGCAGTGTTAATAACCCTGGCTTTACCTGTTCTGCAGGTACTGTCTGCAGGATGGCGGGGCATGGCCGGAAGGCATCGCTCCTCCATGCAAATGCAGGCTCTGCTGTTTACTTGTGAGTTGCACAACTCACGGATGCCTAAATTTCCTCAAGTCTAAACGGGGGATAATGATACCCACCGGCATTGTGAGAGTCAGGCAAAGTGTATGTGGAGCCCACTGTGACCTGTGAGGCTCAAGAAACGGTAGTTTATTATTGTCAGAGCCTTAGATAAGATCCTATGCCGCAAGCTGTTTGAGACTTGAGTTCTGTGCAGCGGGAGTGGGGGTGAAGGTGTGCCGGCTGCCTGGGGCTCCCCACCTCCCTCCCCT